TGACAGTCATTTGTTATGCATCATTTGGCTATTGTACAATGCACATATATTAATGTAATATTCCACCACCCCGCATTGATTACAGTATTTAAGGGACAGTGTAAATGTGATGATTTATAGGCTTTAAATGAGTGCATAAGTTCATCAAATGCATGCATACTTTAAAATGCAAGCTGGTTATTAGGAACTGCAGCTTCATTTTTAATGTAATTGTTATTTTTTTATTGTTATTAATGTGTTTTAAAGATTCATATGTGCAAAGCATGCCCTCAAAGACAGTCTTCCCATGCATTATCAGTGACAAACTATATACCAAGTAAAAAAAAAAAAAGGTTATTTCAAGCTTTCGATTTGTTTTCAGGCAACCCTGAATAAAATAAAGAAACAAATATCACTACATTTGTGACTCCACGGGGAACCAGTGCACATAGCACTCAGTCCAATTTAGATCTGCACCATTGATAAAAAATAATAGCACATTGTTATCACTGTCAGTGCTGGAAGTAGCTCCATCCCTAGATGAAGCTAACAATATGGGTGTTCCTATGGGAGAGGTACATCCGGCACATTACTCTGTACCTGTCATGAGATAATCCACATACAAGAAGAGCAGTACACGAACTGCAATGCAGATTAGTACACTTTACTTGTGTACTGTACTGTGTTATGTACTCTACAGGATAAGATCTGTATTTGCTCCCTCTGCCAGTGTGCTGGCTATCTCCGCTCCATATCCCCTCCCCTTCATTCTTCCCCCACTCTCTGTCTCTCCTTCGCTCTCACAATCAGATGGAAAGCGCATCCCTAATTCTAACATTAGTCCTCTGCTTTCTCTGGCAGCCACAGCATCTACATAAGTGAATGAGCAGCACTGTGAGGAACCAGTTCTGCTCATTCACTTTTTTTTTTTACATAGGCAGGGGGGAATTACATGTACACAGTAGTCTCGTGCTCATCTCTAGAGGGGACTGATGACAGAGACAAGAGCTGTCAATCACATATATATTCTTTGATCAGCCTTGCCAGACGGCCAAGTAAATAGGGGGGGCAAGCTGTCCAGTCATGCTGCGCAGCTAGAACAGGATGGATTGGAATGAGACTGGATTTCCTGGGAAAGGGGGTGGGGCATTCAAAAATGAATCTTATTTGTAATAATACTTTTTTTTTTTAAAGTAGACCATGAGGACAGAGATATGGAAGCTGCCACTGGCGTGTTCTTGAATGTTCAAGCTCTGGTGGGAATCATCATTAGCCTTGCTTTACTTTGTAATGGGTTATTGAGTCAGAATTATGCAGTCTAATAGATCCAAATTCTCCTGTTACTACATACTTGTTCTGTGTCAAAGTCTCGCGAAACATCCACTAAAAAATAGGCACAGCACAATGTAACAGTCATTTCTCAATATGGATATGTACCACAGAGGTCAGTTGCACCGGGTGCCTCCAGATATGGGGGAAAGGTTTCCTCTGTAGCTACAGTGCTCTGTATTGGCTCTAAGTGGCCAGTTTCAAGGCCCGAACACCATCATGTGAGGAGAAGGGTTTCCTCAACCTGCACTACGTTCTGATACCATTCAACACAGAGTTTATACAAGGTTTAAAAACCAGCTCTGACAGAGGAACAGTGCAGCATGGAAGCACTGCAAAGGTGAGTTAAAGGTGCATAATGTAGTTTTTAAGAGACGCTGTCCTTTTGCTCTAAATGCCCAAAGTGACATTCTCTTTAAGACTTTAAATTCCCTTGACATGGTCAGGGCAGGGACCCATTCCAATTTTTTTTTAGGTGTTTTAAAAATTACAAGGTTCGATTTGCTGTGTAAATCTGAGATGATCAATGTAGGCTCAACCTAAGCACACAGCAAAAATAGTTGCTGTCTATTTGTTTTGTGAACACCAATCTATTGCATTATTGTGTGTTGAAAAAACATGTACAAATGCTGCATCTTTATGCAACACAATGCACAAAACCATGTTACAACATGCATCGGTGCCTCACATAATGCTGTTTTGCACTGCTGTTGAGTTATATTAAGTGTTTAAAAATAAAAAGCAAGTGTGTGTTATGTATGTGACAGGTGCGCCAGTCTGAACCCACTGTACGCCAATAACACATGACTATACACTGTTCAGAACCAACCGAGCCTTCTCCCAGCCTCACCCTGCACAGAGATTTCCCAATTCGCTGGACAACAGAGCGATCATCACTAGGGTTGGTTAACTCCACAGTTACACAAAACAGTAGCTGCCACCACATGTAATTATATTTATAGGTTTTTATTATTGTTATATATTATTTTGATTTTAGTAGTCATTGTTTCTCTTTTTATTAACAAATGTGGAAATAATATGGACGTCTCACAGGGTACGGAGAAGTGATAGAACACAGGTTCAGCAATATATTAAATAGGATCTGGCCACCTGCCAGGTTTAAAGATGGTCACCTCTGTTTGCAGCCACCATCTTTAAAAATATAATGTGATTTGGAGACCCATGGAACACCGGAGGCCCGCGCAGAGCACCCCTGGTGAAACTAGACTGCAAGTACATCCCTAGTTTTTAGCATAAGTTACTTATTTACAGTTTTGCATAAATTTGATTTTTTTTTTACTGTTTCCCAAAAAGACTCAAAAAGAGCAACTTGAACTCAGTCCTTTTTTATCATTTAGATTTAGTGAGAATGTTTGGAAATTATGTTGTATTTGTGTGTGATGATAACAATGTTGGTGTATTTTTATTAAAAATATTGTTTTGATAAAGGTTTGCACAATTACCTTTGAACTTACAAAATTAGTAACACCAAGTCCTATGCTTTTACAAAATATATGTTTAGAGGTGGGGTGTGGGAGAGGATATTTTACAAACTTTCATAGCTGTTAGTGGAAAATAGTGGAAGATAGCAAAAATTTGATGGTAGGACTCAGCAATTAAAGGGTTAAAGCTAAACCATTGTCCGATATAAAAGAAATCAAGTAATATAGCTATGTAATCAACAAATGTATTATATTTTTAAAAGCAGGTAGTGTAAGTTTCAAAATATTACTAGCTGTCACTGAAGGTGAGAGCAGAGGGACAATGTCATTAGCATTCTGCTTCTTCTTCACAGTCCAGTCACAGGCTGAGGGCAGTGAGGTGACCTAGCTGTAATGTTTAACTGCAGTTGAAAAAAAGTCAGCTTAACTACCATGATCAGCTGTCCCACGAGCCTGTGTAAATTACATGGGAATAAAAAGGACAACAATTAAAATTCTTTGTCAAATGAATAAGCTTCCATACATGTATTTCATCCATGTCATTCATGTTTTGCCCGCAGTTCAGCTTTAAGCACAGATCTCTGAGGAACCAAGATAAATTGTGTTGTAGGAAATCGTTTTCTTACCAGCTTTTAGGCAGAACAGAATAAGGATTACATTTGCAGGAATTGTAATGGCAATTGTAGGGAACACCATCAAATGTGTAACATTTCAAGTAGTCTATCATATAATTAAGTTGTGTTTCAGGGCTTTCAGCACACTTTTATTATTTCAACGAATAAGATAGCAAAACAGAAGTTTCTCTTACAGGTGTGTATTCATCAAAATGCACCTCACTCAGCCTCATGGCTAAGTTTCTTGGCACCTGTTCAGTCTGTCAGATATCCATGCCACACCAACTCTCTGTGGGATCCATTCCTCGCCTGGTGCCTCTGACCACTTAGCCCCTGACAGATGTGAACATACACTACTGGTGTGTCATTCTTTCACTTACACTGCATTAGCAGTAGCATCCTAGACAGGACTCCTATCTGAGATCAGCCTTTTCCTTTTTTAACTACACTTGTCCACAATCAGTGCTGTAGCTTTATTGGAGGCCTAGACCTATATAAGATCTTTGGCTGGTCCAAGGATAAAAAGACTGGCTGCAGATATCTACAGATCATTTAGCGGGTTAAACTGGTCACATGTATGGATACCTATAGCACATGTTTCTTTTTGCTTAGCATGTAACATTAGATTTGAGCCTCCACTGAAGCAGCATTGCTTGTTCAAAAATACACACCCAGCCTGTTTGTATTGATGTAAGCAGCAGCATGAGTCATCCCTCATGCTCATACTCCTCCCCCTCCCCTCCTCCACATCAGGAGCTCCTCTCACATCAGAATTCCCCTTTGACATCAGAGTCTTCTGCACATCAGAAGCTCCCTATTCACATCACTGCCCCCCCCCCCCCACTATTGCGCTGTGTCC